ATGTGTATAAGAGACAGGGCCTGAGGGTGCCGGGGGCGGCGGAGGCGGAACTGCTGGTCCAGCAGACGCAGCAGAAACAGCGGCGCGCAACGTCACTCCGCCGCTTCATCGCCTGCCCGGAGCTGGCGCGCACCGTGCAGCGCTGCCTGCAGAGCGGAACCGGCCCCAAGCCCGTCCTGCTCGAGTGCGCGCCCGGTAAGCCACCCCGAGGTTCCGGCCTCTGCCCTCCGGTGGTGGGCCCCTCCGCGGCTTCGCTGACCCCGGGGCTTCGCCGTCCCCGGGGTTGCCGGGACGCAGCGCTGCTCGGCGTGACTCAGTGACCTTGAAGGGTCAGCGTGAGCTGCCGCCCTCCCCGCCAGCGGTGACGGACCCCCGGCCCCGCTCTCCCGGGGCCGTGGTGAGGTGCTGAGGGCCGGAGCCCTGCCTTTCCGGGGATTTCGGGCGGGAGTGGCGGCTGCGTTGCGTGACGGGACGGGATCCGTGCTGGGGGCTGCCCCGGCCCCTGGCCGCCGCCCTGGTGTTTTCCCAGGGTGGCCGTCGGCGACCGGCTGCGCCGTCTGGGTGTCGCGGCCCGCCTTGGGCGGGTGGCAGGGGGTTCCACTGATAGAGAGCTTTGGGGGAAAACGAGTGAGTGCTCAGTCTGGAGACCGGAGTCAGCAGTGTTAAAACTTTGCCATTGAGCAAACAGAGATGTAAATTTCTGTCTGGGTAATATTTTTGGTTTTGTAGAAGAACTTGATCTCGGTTAGTAAAAGCATGCTGTGGGCTATTAGACAGTTAGCCCTCTGCAGTTACTTAATCTTTTTTACATTTTTGCAGAGGGTATTTTACGTATAGAGATAATATGTGTAATATTTCAAAGTATATTTCAGTTGACAGAAGGATTAGAAATATTTGAAACATTAAACTTCATGTTCCTTAGTATCTCATTGTAATGCTGTGCTTAGAGTAATTCACTGAGTAATGTCAGGCAGACTCTGTGTAAATCTTTTTTCTAACTGTTTTTGAGCTGTGTTTAAACAAATACAGGTTATCTCCCGTTGAAGGTGGTATATCCCAAGTGTTGTGTTGGGAAAATCACTAAGGGAAATCACTTAGAAAAAAACCGCTCTTCTTAAAAGTTTATACTTTTTAAATTTTTTTTTATTTTCCCCTTTAGGTCCTGGAGTCTTGACCCGAACTCTGCTCAATGAAGGTGTTAGAGTGGTAGCACTCGAACATAATTCAGCTTTTCTTCCAAACTTGCAGGTACACTTTTGATTTGGTACCACATTTCTAAAACCTAATTAAAAGGGAAAATAAGAAATTAAAATTGTGTAATAACTGTTAGATCAAAAAAGGAATTAGCCAGTGTTACTTCTAACATTTGGAATAGCACTTAGTAAGTATTGTTTGGTTTTACATTGCATGTTCAGCAACAGACTGTTTTATAATCAACTGACTTGACGTTTTGTGAAAGAAGCTGTAAGAAGCAGCTCTGAGATTGACTCTTGTTCATTGGGAAACAACTTTAGCTAGTGCTTGAACAATTTTTTGGTTTCAGTTGGGTGTTTTGCAAGATGGGTTATTGCATCCAGTTTCCTTCGACTGAAACTAATTTTATTCAGTCCCTAGAGAATAGCCTGGATGGACAGTTAAAGGTAATTTACGGGGACTTCTTCAAACTGGATCCTTTGGTGATTGGAACGGTGAAACCACCTGTTATGTTTTCTGACAAACTTTTTGAAACCATAGGTGTGGAAGCAGTTCCTTGGAGTGCAGGTATATGTATATGATCACTTATGTTACAAATAAATTTGAAAGGTGCATAGGCAGTTTGGCTAAGTCTTTGAGATTTGCTTGAGTTATGTGTTCTATTTAAATATATGCTGGATTAACGGATACTATTTTGTATGTTTCATCTTTACTTTGGTTCTTGCTAGCTTCAAAGAAATGTGGCAATATGAAATCATGTGTTTGCTTGTCTTTGCATTAGACTAAACTTTAATAAACTGGGCTTATCTTTAACTAAATCTTGAATTGTATTAGTTCTTGAAAAACGTGAGCTGGCAGACTTTCTTTTCTTAGTTGTTTGTAGTTTAGACATTAACGTTAGTGAGATTTTCTAGTACAACTTGCAAAATTTTGAAGATACTTTTACACACTATTGAAACAGATGTACCTGTGAGAGTTTTTGGAATCATACCACAAATAAAGGAAAGGATCATACTTTGGAGGCTTCTTTTTGCCCTGTATGAATGCAGTTCCATATACAGATATGGAAGAATAGAACTCAACATCTTTGTAAGTGAAAAAGAGTACAAGGTATGTGTAAGACATTTTATAGGTAAAGAGTATGAAGTGCTTCACAGAACACAGAACCATTTATATTGTACAGCTAATGTTTTTGTCAGTGAATTTATTTTTCTGTCAGATTTTTAAAGTCTTGTCTGTTTCCTACTTGCTCTCTTTGTGCAGTAATAGCATTGTTGATACATTCTGTTGTCACATAACCACACATCTTACAAATGTGAAGATTGTTCTTGAGAAGGACATGCAGCAGACTAGCTGCTTTCCATTGAAACTTGTGAGGTGCTTAAATTCTGTAATGTGCTTTTGCAACAAAATCGTTTACTAATTGCAGGTCAATGAAGAGTGAATTCAAAATGCCTTGAATAGGACTCAGTTACTAAATACCATACTCAGTGAGATGTACTTGTCCTCTTGGGCCACTTTTGTATCCAGTCCTGAAAAAAACTAAGGCAAAATATGAGTGATTTACACACCTTTTTATTAAAGTTCTGTACACTAAGGTGCAAAGCAGCTTTCTGGATTATATGTTCCTATTTATGCTGTCCCAAACCTCTAGAACTGTACTTGCAGTTCAAGGGTGTCTTTTCTTTCTGTGAAACTGTAAGGTTCACACAGAGCCACACACCTTTAAACTTGAAGTAAGCAAAGATTTCCAGGTGTGATTACACAATCTCTGTTGTGCCTAATACCCTACTGAAAAAATGTAAATCTTAAGTATATTCTTCTGTGAAATGGGAGATTGGACACCACTAAAATATCCACTCAAATGGTGTGATTTTAATGGCCAGATTTTTGAGCAAATAGGGGGCAGCCTATTCATTTAATGCAGTCACTGTTTGTTTATCTTAAGTTTTCTGATTTTGTTGTGAACCCTGTTAAATGAGTTGTGTACCTAAGTAAAAGCAATTGGAACCTTTTTTTAGGGCACTGTTGGTTCCTTTTTGGTTGATTTTTTTTTTTTCCCAGTTGTTCATACGATGAGGCTGTCAAAATCTGTTATGAGAAGTTAATTCTCCCTGCTACAGTTTTCTTCCTTTGCTCTGTTTGAGAGTAACATTCCTTTGTTATTTTTGCCCTAAGAGTTGTCTGATCTGTAATATTGAACAGGATGATGACTGTGCAAGCTGCTTAATGTTCAGTGAGGTCACCTGATATTTGGCTGTACTCTGCTTGTGTGTTGTATTGGGAATATTATCTATCCATGAGAATTGATTACTGGTCGTGTTATGGTTTTATACAGAATGTGATCCCTGTTTCTCTTCTGTGTGAAACTTCTCTGCCTTAAAAGGGACTAAAAGTTATAAGCTGGAAGTTCCTACACAGTTCAGTTATGCAAATAACTGCTGCAAAGAAATACTTAGACTGTCATAATGTCTTCTAATCATGTTCTGACAAGATGTACGAAAATAGCACAGAATATGTATTTGAGGCCTAATGTAACTTTACCTTGCAATTTTAGACTTAACTATGAATTTCTTACCGCTTGTTACATATATAAGGATTTTGCTTAGATAAAGAAGCAGTCTCAGTTTTTGCAACAAAAATGTTCTTCCTTTGCCATTTTGTTAGGTGTTAACAGCAAAGGCTGGGGACGTGAGGGCTTACCAAGCGCTTACTGTAATTGGGCAAGTAGGATGTGAAATTCAGCTACTGCACATGGTAAGTTTTTCATACCAGCTGACATGGTCTAATGCTATGGACATGCTTTTAGAAAAGGATTTATAGTGTTTTACCAGTGTAAACTGATTAGAAGCTAAATTGATGTTTAAATTAGTTGAAGAACAATTGAAAACTTTTGGATGTAAAAACCTGGAACAGTCATGTTTTTTGTAAAACTCTTTCAATTAAGCAGCATCATTATTAATTATGATGTCAGTATTTTCATTATAAATCACTGTACTGAAAAACATTTATTCTCAGAAGCTGGTAGATAAAGAAGTTTGTGCAACAGATAAGTCTTTTCTACCTTGCCAATGGTTGTGTGCGACTAGAAGACTGCTCTTCCAATCTGTCATAGCCTGCTCTTTGTTATGTCCTCTGTGTTTTCCCATCATGTATACTTTTGACTTCCTGAACTATATGCAGAAGAAATACTTTTTTGAGTCTTAGTGCCTTTATGTTCTAAGTGGGTCTGCTTCTCCTGCTAGTCAAACATGTTATGGTTTAGTTTTAAAAAGATTTTTATGTTGTTCTCCCACCTCCACATGAGCACATGGCCATTAACTTTCACTTACTTTATGCTTTTTAGATTTATCTTTGTTTGTGCTCTGTTTTCTTAGCAACCTGTCTCCATAGTTCTAAAGTTTTACTAGTCTAAAATTAAAAGTTTCACTATCTGTTGTATTCCAGATAGCTTATACCATAAGGTATATACTAAGGTTAATATTAAGGAGTTGAAAAATAAGATGTTGCTTGTTGGAGATGGTCATCTGTGACTCTCAGGGATGAAGAAAAAGCAGAGGCATTCAGTGTGGTTTTTTCCTCAGTCTTTAATAATACTGATCAACCTTGGGCTGCCCAGTCCCCTGAGTCAGAGGACCACAAGTGTGGGAACAGTGAGTTTCCACTTGTAGATGCTGAAGTTGTAAGGGACCAGCTGTATCAGCTGAATGTTCACAAGTCCATGGGGCCTGAGGGATTCATCCCAGAGTACTGAAGGAGGTAGTGGATGTTCTCTTTTGATCTTTATACTATGCGAGTCTGGGGAGGTCACTGCTGACTGGAAGCTCGCCAGTGTTGTTCCAGTTTAGAAGAAGGGCGTGAGGGAAGACCCAGGGAACTACAGACCTGTTAGTCTAACCTCAGTTCCTGGAAAAATGATGGAAAAGATTATACTTGGTACTACTGAAAGTAGCAGCCATCAGGCACATTCAGCATGAGTTCACAAAGGGAAGTCCTGATTAACTAATTTGATACCCTTCTATGTTAAGGTCACCCACCTGGAGCATGAAGGGAAGGAAGTGGATGTAGTTTCTCTAGATTTCAATAGGGCTTTTGATACTGTCCCTCACAGCATCCTTCTGGACAGTTGTCCAGCTGTGGGATGAGGAGGATCACGGTGCACTGGGTGAAGAACTGGCTGAAGGGCAGGGCTCAAAGGGTTGCAGTGAATGGGGCTACATCTGGCTGGTGACCGGTCACCAGCAGTGTTCCTCAGGGTTCAATTCTAGGGCTAGCTCTGTTCAATATATCTATCAATGATCTGAGTGCAGGAGGTGAATGCACCATTAGCAGGTTTGCTGATGATACCAAACTGGGAGGTGCTGCTTCAAGATGCCTTGCAGAGGGATGTAGATAGATTGGAGCACTGGGCAGTCATCAGTGGGATGACATTTAATAAGATGAAATGCCAGATTCTGCACCCGGGATAGAGTAATGCTGGGGACAAGTATAAACTGGGAGATGAGTGACTGAAGAGCTGCCCTGCAGAAAGGGATCTGGGAGTGCTGGTCAGCAGCAGGCTTGATATGAAGAAGCAGCTTGCCCTGGTAGCAAGAGGGCAAACCGCATCTTGGGGTACATCAAATAGAATAACCAGCCTGGCAAAAGCGGTGATTATCCCTCTGTATTCAGCATTGGTGTGGCCTCACCTTGAATACTGTGTGCAGTTCTGGGCTCCACAATTTAAGAAGGATATGAAGGTACTCAAATGTGTCCTGAGGAGGGCAACAAAGCCACTGAAAGGGCTGTAAGGAATATCCAGTGAGGAGCAGCTAAGGACTTTATGTCTTTCTAGTTTGGAGCAAAGAAGGATGAGGGGTGACCTCATTGCTCTTTGCAGCTTTCTGAGGAGGGAAAGGGGAGAGGGAGGTGCTGATCTCTTCTCCCTGGTATCCAGTGACTGGACACATGGAAATGGTTCAAAGCTGCACCAGAGGAGGTTTATTCTGGCCATTAGGAAGCATTTCTTTACTGAGAGGGTGGTCAAACCTTGGAACAGGCTTCCTAGAGAGGTGGTCAATGCCCCAAGCCTGTCTGTGTTCAAGAGACACTGGGACAATGCCTTTAACAACAAGCTTTAACTTTTTGTCATCCCTGAATTGCTCAGGCAGTTGGATTAGATGATCATTGTAGGTCCCTTCCAATGGAAATATGCTATTCCTGTTCTATTCCTGTTCTATTTATATTCTAAAAATGCACTGTAATTCTGTAATATATTATATCTGCTCCCTCCCATAGGAACCTTGGTCATCATTTTTAACTAATTTGAAAAACGGGGGACTGGCAGTACCGAAAAGCAGGGTAAGATCATTGTGTGTGCTTTTGTCCTTTTGGAGATGCAGCTAAACCCTTTTAACTAAAAGGTTAAAATAACTTTATAACAGCATTTACACATGTATTTTATAAGAAGTGTTTTTTCTAATTAAAACTTACAGGGAGCATTAGATACAATCAAAAGTGGGGTGAAGAATTGCTTAGAAACAGAAACAAACTAGTATCTTCGTTGTGTATAATGGAAAAATTACAGTGAATAAAGAGCATAAAGGGATGTGAACAGGTAAAGTCTTTTTCAAAAGTTACTGACAGAGTCACATCTACCCACTTAAACAAAACAAGTGTTACCACAATTAACAGCACAGTCAGTATGCTGCTGGTTTTGATTAAGATGGTTATTCACATGTCCAGTGTAGATTCTGTTGTGCTGGTTAATTGCTGAAAAGTGTGAGTCTCAAAGCTTAAATACCTTGTGTAAAGTTCTTTCCTTTTCTCTTTCTGAGAAATAATGATGTTCCTTTGTATAATACAAGAATATTTCTGTTTAATACCAATAGTATAAAAGCATGTTTACTTCATATTTGGCTTTACCCACCCCAGAAAACTGCTACAGTAGTATACTAACCATTGTTTGAAATGTTAACTGTACAATATAAGTGAATGCAAGTGACTGGGTGTGCCTTACACTCTTAGGTGTGTTGTTGTAGAGCCATGTGGAGAGGCATATCAGGTGGATTATGTAAGGTGTATTGTGACAGCCTTAGGAGAAGTACAAATACGTGATCTATTGGACCATATATCCATTGCTGCCAATGGAGAAGTACATTTATTTTGGTTAAAGACTCCACTCCCTGTTTCATAAAATTCTCAAGTTGAAATATTGTCTTAGTGATACACTCAAATAATTCTGTCTTTATTTACAAAAGGCAGGTAGTTAAAGTGATCTCATCTGACCTTGCATAGCATAGGAATACTTTAGACCATATAATCTCGTGAAAACTCTTATCAAGCCTGTATTATCTATTTCAACTAAGAAAATTCAGTCGTAAAAAATAAAAATAAAACTGAAGTAATAGTATGTCTGTTTTGTTTCCTATTTCCTTTCCTGTTTGTGGGGCAGGGAATGTAGAACATCTTTGTTCTAGAACAAAATTTTAAAGCCTCAGCTTCCAACCATCTTGTTAAGACTTCTAAAACTCTTTAAGAAGTGTTACTGGTGGCACAAATGAAATGCTCACTCTTAGCTAATGACAGACACGGTTTTAAAAATGACTTTCCAGTGACTTCTTTTGTTTTTCTTGCAGTGGCTGCCAAATGACCATTTATGTTTGGTACGACTGACTCCTCGGCAAAATCTATTTTCAGGAGTCTTGAAGCCCACAAATTCATCTACCTTTATTTTCATGGTGAAACAGTGTCTTGCTAAACCCAAGTCTAGACTTACTGATAGATTAAAGTAAGTAAGAAAGAATTACAGTTTTTATACTTCAGAGAAATACAGGAAAATATTAACCTATGTTCTCAAAGCAGTATGTATTTGCAGCTGAAATACAGCTTGCCTTTTTTTTTTTTTTTTAAATTAATTGTCTACATGTAGAATAGAAGATTTCAGTTTTGCAGCCCACAACACAACATTTTAGGGACTATACCTGGCCTGTATTCACAGATGATAAAAACTTGAGGTTTGACAGGAAGGTCGACAAGTATTTAGAATGTAGATGTACTGTAATTGTCTGTACCTCCAGTGGAGGTGAGGTCATTTATCTGCAGAAATTTTCACTCATTTTACAGACATAACAATAAAGTCATCAAGAGTTTTGCAGGTATAAAAATAAAAAGCTGGAAAAGAGTTTCCATTTATACTGAACATCAAAGTAATGCTAGTGAAAAGAGTTGAAGGTTATTTAAGGTGGAGTGGGGATGTCCTCAAATGGCTTTTGGATATCTAATTAAAAAATTAGGCTTTAGACCTGTTTACCAATTACGTAACTCTCTTTTAATTATTCTTTTTTGATATTACATTGGAGCTATTTGCTTTGCTTTATGATCATTAGATTTCCGTTTTTCATCAATGGGAAGTGTTTGCGGTCTGGAAAGCATTGACTTCAACTTGTTAATGAAAATAATGTGTTTCTTGTTTGCTGGTAGTAATTTATGGAAGCTAATTTCCAGAAAAGGAAAAAACAAAAAAACAAAAAAACACCTAATAACTTCCAGTATTTAGCAAAGACAAGTGCAAAGAGCCTTAATGGATTTCTTTCTTAAGGCTCAGTGGTTTACCTAATCTCCACTCAATCCTTCAGCCAGGAAGTGGAGCTAACCTTGAAGGCTTCTAATGTGCATCTTATTTATACACCCTTTTCTTGTCTGGGAAATAGTTTGTGTATATGCACATTTATAAAAGGTCTGGTTTTCATAGCAATGATGTAGATGGTGACACAGTGGATACATCTGTTTATATAAGAAAATACCTGGAAGGTGTAAGTTACAGTAACTCATGCTATATTGAATCATCTTCTTGAAGATGTCCTTGGCTTTAATTTCCCAGGCATTGAAAAATAACATCTTTTTATGCTGTAATGCCTGTTACTGATTTATGCTTTATTGGGGAGGGAGGGCACCCACTCTTTAACAAGGAGGTTTATGTGTTTTGATATTGTCTGTGTGTGTGCTGGGGGCTTTATTGGTATTTATGTCTTATTAGCATAGGTTTCTTCCTGTTTGCAGTATGGATTGAAAATAAGTTGTGCTGTAGACAGATGTTAGCTTCCAGAAGCTGCAAAAGAGTGAAACGGACCTTCAAATACTGTTTCTTGCTCTTTAATTTTTCACAGGAAGAAAGGCTCCATATGATTTTGTTTGTTTGTTTGTTTCAGTTCATGGAGCTTGGACAGTGATGGCAAATTACTGAGAGAGCTAGAAATTCCAAAAAATGCTGCAACACGTAGCTTATACCCTGAAGACTATAGGCGTCTTTTTGAAGCTTTGCAAAACTCTAATATGTTTATTGACACCTGGTTCCACGATGAAGTCATGGATAGTATAAAGAACATGAACTTAAAAATCTAAAGTTGCTGTCTGTTGGAAGACCACCTTTGCGTCTGGAAGATTACTTTGATAAGAAATGATTTAAATAAAAGCAAAGATACTGTTAGCTAGATGATTTCCAGTCCAAGCAGGAAAAGAAATTTGGCAAGTAACAAGAGCCCCTCTGCACAGGATGAAAGTAACAAATTCACAGATATTTGATCACAATCCTATCTAGAATGGACAAACTGCATCTTTCCCAGGAGCATGTTAGTGACCTGCTGCTTTTGGATGTACCACTTAAATGGAACTTTTTGTTACACTGCTGTATATTTACAAAATTTGAAAAAATTAACACACCAAATATCATTATTTGTGTGGTTTGTATTTTAGTGCTCAGTGATTCGATTGCCCTTTCACAGATTCCCAAAATACATAGGTCTTTACAGCCACTGAATCTGTTACATTGTGTCCTGATCTAAAAACATTGCAGTCTAAAGTCAACATAAAATTAATAAATCAATAATGGTGGGTTAATAGAAGACAAGGTAATGACAGCATGATAAAACATTAACAGATAGTTGTTTGGGTTTTTTTTAACTAAAGATTGTTATATCTCTGAGGAAAAATGTAAAAATTCTTTCTTCTGAAAATTTGAAAAGAACACTGTGCAGTCTGTTCTAGATTACAATATGTGAACACCTGTGTGCACATAGGCTTTATTTTAGGTCTGAAAACAAAATCACAAGAACATCCAGTGCTGTATAAACAGTTTGGAAAAAAATAATCACCTTCAACCTTTTGTCAGTATGTATTTGTTTATTGTGTATTATATGTACAAAATAACTTACTTCAAACTCATATGCTATTAAAATTCTCTTTTTTAGCCATAGTACTCCATAATGCAACTTGTTCCTAGTTTCTCTTTCTGTCTTACCAATATAACTTCTATTCTTGTCCAACAGTGCTAGCAGGCTGTACTGGTTCTGTGTTCTCTACTATCTTCTCTGTGAAGAGCTGTGGCCAAAACTATGCTTTTTTTTAGCAGAGCAGGATAAAGGCTGAGCTATTTTCATGCTTTAGAAAACAACAGTGACCAAAACAATACAAACACAGAATTGTATTTCTTAAGTGTAGTGTGAGGTATAGATGTAACAAGCATTCATCTCTGTCTTCCTCCTGCAGTTCTGCTGCAGAAGCAAAATGGACTTTGAGCAGCCTCAGTGCACCCTGCTAGCTGGGCTGCAGCTACCTGTTTAAGCTGCTGATAAGCCTTTGTAATGTTATGATGGATACTGGAAAGGCAGAGGTTTAATTTGCAGTCTGTCTTAGAGCGTTACTAGTGTAGGTTGTGAAGATTTGAGACTGTTTACATCTCTTACGGTTTCAGATAACTTGCGTTATAAATTGACCATGAATGGCAAGCTTGCTTTAACAGAAGCAATTCCACCTTTTTTCAGTCTCAGTAGATGGTAACTATCTTATCTACTGGTCTACAAGAATGCAGTGTCTCCTGGGCTGATTTTCCCTCCTCCTTCCTTGAATCAAATACCTCTTGTTGCAGCAAGATGACTTACATCAGCATACGAGAAGTATGCAGTGTAAGTCCACCACTGTCTACATAAACTTCTTTAACGGTGTTGATGATAACAATTTCAAACATGAACTGAAAAAAAAGAAAATTGTTACTCGCTGTGATTTTTTGATGCTGTTGGAAAACAGCATTTACTGAGCCAATGCAGAGACTCCCAAGCTAACAGCAGGAGTCTGTAAGTAGAGGAATGTTGTTTAACTGGGGACTTGAAATGAGGAGATTTAGTGTTACCCAGAACTCTGCCATTAAGCCCTGATCACAAATGTGAAATGAAGAGGACAATGGCTGTCATTATAGAAACGGTTTTGGTATTGATGGAAGAGATGGGAAAAGGTAAAAATTACTGGTGTATGTGAATAGGTATGGATGAGTGAAATTGAAGTAGGTCCATGGATTTGATTAGTTAATGCACTCCAGTCAGTACTTCCTATTGTTGGCACTTCTGCAGGAGAATGTTGAATGGAAACTTTTGCTACTGAAATTTTAAATTGTATATAAAGGCTTTCATGCTTTTTTGATACCATTTTTAACCAACCCTGTACTACTTGTGTTCCTTTCCTTTGCCTTTGCCATATTCCTTGACATGTTGATAGAAAATGGAGCCAACATCTCTTCAGTTATTTTTGATTCATGTAAATGCAAAGACAGAACTTTCAGCTAGGAAAACAGTATATAAATTCAGGTTAATATTTACAGTTTAACCCTCAAAAACACTATTCAAAGAAAAGACAAAACTGCAGATTCACTCAAAATTTAAACTGGCAGACCTCAGAAGAGAAGATCTTCATGCTAACTTTGAGACCAAAAGGTTTATGGGAACTACTTTCTATCATGGTGGGATAGCAAAGTTTCCCATTTCTCAAAGTGCATTAATTTTTAAGTGAGTTACTGTGCCAGATACAGTAAGTAATAAAAAGTATTTTTAAATTAGTACCAGCCTTTGAATATGCTTTAAAATTCAGGGTTTTTTTACAGGTTTGTGTTATGATACTAATTATAAGATAAAGTAATAGGTTTTAAAAATTACATTAATTAGCTGCAAGCTTTCAGGCAGATTTATTTCTTCCTGTGTTTTCCTGTCTTTCAATCTGAGATCTTGGATGAGATGAAGGTTACAACATGCATATAACATAATAGAAAGTATAGCATATTTCTTTCAATTTCCAGACTGGGGTTGTGGTGTCTGTCTTTTTTTTTCCCCCCCCCCCAAGATCAATTTAATTCATGAACCACACATGATATATATCAAGTAGAACTCCTAAGTATTGCTCCCACTCTTCAAAAACTGTTTCTTAGCTGCCAAGAAAATGGCTTTTGACATGTCATATTAAAGCACCAATAGCTTGTATATTGATCCTAACTTCAGATGTGCTAAGTTTTCTACTGGCCCTCATCGTTTGTGCCATTCATCTGCCCAGAAAAGAAAATCACATGACTGTGATGGCAATTGCCTAAAGTTTTACTACTTAACTATATTAAAATCATAGCAAACACAAATAGAAAGAAACTTGGTCCTTAGATGCCTGGGTAATGAGAAATTTTGCTGTTTGGAATTAGGGGATCAGTCAAGTTGGATTCTATAAGTAGTTCACTTTTGATCCAGAAGGGTTTGTGATCTTGTACTAATTAACACAGTAAATTATGTGATAAGGGGTTGTTAAGGTGGAACGTGTATGTACTGGCTACTAGGCTTGTTCAGCATTGGCCATTTTAATAATTACATCTTAGCTTAGCCTTGCAGGTAATAAAACTCAAGAAACAGATCGTGTCATGTAGTTTAAGATGTATGTGATAGGAAGAACCTGAGGCTTCCTGAGAAACATGCTGAATTGATTGTTCTGGCAGGCTAAACACAATCTGTGGGGCTGTAGTTTGAAAACTAAGCTTTGCAAGCCTTTAATTAGCAAAGCTGTACTTTCAGCTACACTGAGATAATGAAAATAACAAGTAACTTTTCCAGAAAAGACAACAAGTCAGTGGGAGATGTTTAGTCACTCACATTGTATCCTTGCTCAATAGTTATTGCGCCTTTCCTTGTGTATGCTGTTTCACTGCTAAAAATAGACACACTGGCTGTCCCCAGCTGATAGAACACAACACACAGCAAACATAGGAAGCCCAAGGGAAATTAGGGGTAGTTAAGATACACCACATGGAATGGTCGATTACTCATAATGTATGCAAGACTTTTAACACTCGATGTAATTGATACTCTTGATAAGACACCACATAAACAGCTAAGAAATTGTGCTGATGAACTTCAGAAGCATGTTTCTGCCACCTGAAGGAAATTACTGTGTTTGAGACAGGCAGGACTCAAGTAGAAAGCTTTTGTAAAGTTCATAGTAAAAAGTCAGCAGGTAAAATCTATGTAACTGAGTGAAATTTATTATGAATTTGTGCTTAAAATGCTTCTATAGTGAGTTTTTAAATTTTACATTCTAGAATAATTTTTTAATTAGCACACCAATTAAAAGTGAAGAGACCTCTTCAAGAATTCCTGTGTGCTCATAAAAGATCTATCTGTGCTTATAAGCTTTCAACTAATTATTTGATATCTATTTTATGCCATTAGTGACACAGATTTGTACTAATCAAAATTGAACATTTTGTGTTTTGAGCCAGATTTTTCTCCCAGAATTTTTTTTTTTTTTTTTTTGCTGTGTGGATTGGAATGGGTATTGCACATTTATGATTGAAGAGCAGAATTTGGATTATTTCATTACTGCAATTCTTTCTGTAAATTCATGTTGTAAAACATGCTGTCTTGAGATAGAAAAGCTAAACTTCCACTACGGTGTCTCATCTACCGCCAGTAAGGAAGTATGACTTATTCAGCAGCATCAGCCACAATTAAGTGATATTTCCCACAAAAGTGCCTCCATTACATACCTTGACAGCTGCTTTTGTCCAGAATGTGTCATGCATTTCAAATAGCTGTTGGGAATTGTGACCTGTCTAGGTCAGTGGATGACTTGGTCATATAAAAACCCCTTATTATCAGCAGGGATTAATTCAATTAAATATAGTCAGGAGCTAAATGACTATTTATTGGAATATACAGCCATAATATCATTATGCTTTTCAGAAAATTCAGACCTACCTGAGTAGGGTGTTCATTTGATCGCCATTGTTCAGCCTGTGTTGAATGGCCCTCCTAGGCAGACCAGTCTATAAACCGTAGATGCACATATCCAGGATCAGCTTTCCAGGCTCATCTTAGAGATGTCGAAATATCCAACACTCCATCAATGAAAACATTTATGTTGTGTTTAAAAGCTTATCTATACTAGAAAAGCCTGTATTACTACAATTATGTTGTCATATCAATTGAAATGCTGTGTACAACTTATGCCAAACTGATGAAAGCCCCTTTCTTCAGGCATTCTGTTTTGCTACAGTAGCAGGGCTCTCTGAGGTTGTGATTTTATTTGTGTGTGTGTGTGTGTGTGTGTGTGTGTGTGAAAAGACTGACATTCCCTCAGACACATTTTTGTACTTGTGAGATTTTGTGTTATGGGACATGTGAGAAAACCTGACTTGGAAGACTGAGGAAATAATGAAAGCTACATCTGGTATTGTATATTCATATCAGCTCTTCCCTGAGTGCACTTTTTGTGATTCCTGGGTAGGATTTTAAGTTCATGATTTTTGTGTATTGTTTGACCATTCATCTCTTAAGTTTATCCACCCAAGAGATAGACATTAACTTCTGTTATTATTGGGTTTTTGTGTGCCATAGGTTGTGGACAATGCCCGTTTAGAAACTTAATAAAACAAGATAGATGGGGAAACATAGAAGATGAAATAGGTGTAGGAGTAAGGCATACAAGCCAAATACAGAGCTAGTCATTTAATATTTTAATAACTGTTACGGATAATTCTTGAGTATCTCACAATATCACTATAATTGAACACTTTTGAAAAATTTGCTAGGAGAACTAGAGATGAACATAGTAATGTGCATAGCTATCTAACTGGCAGCCAGATTGCTGTCACTTCTTTTGGTAATGAATTATGTCACTGCAGCATTTAAGAGAATGTCAAAATATATTTTTCTGTGGGAATCCTGTGGCTTGATGTACGTTGGTTCTTCCCAATAGCAGTATTTTGGATATGCATATTGTCATTTCTGGTTACCCTGTTGCAACTTGGATGAAAACAGTTGCAGACTGAAATAATCATCACTGAGAACAAAACTGAGTACGTTTTAGAAGCGAAAAGCTGTTTTGCAGAACTGTTGGGTCTGTCTCTCAACGTTCTTTGACAGGACGACACAACACTCCTTTCCAAAACACAAGCCCTAACTCCCTCTATAGGCATAATAAAGAAAACCAGACTAAGTCTGTCTGCAGTTTAGCGCATGTAGCCTGCATCACGTGTGTAATTTCATAAATGAACAAACGCCACGTAGACCCACATGGAAAGCACTTATCATCTCATGGGTTTTGAAGATCACCATTTCAGAGTGGTGCTCTGAGTTAATCATAAAATTGTTTTGCTTTTCCCCTGTCATTTATCTGGTGCCTCTAACTGATGGCTCTGACAAAAAGCAGCTGGTCTGTGGGGTGCATTCCCAGTGATACACACTGCCAGCGCTTGGGTGCCAAGCAGCTTCCAGCCCAGCCATGCTTCTTTGTATTTAGATCACAGTGAGATCCAGAAATATGTCCAGATGCTAGCTCATAAGTAAAATGTCCTGTTTTGGGATGTATGACAGAATCATTATCATATCTATTCCTTTATGAAAAAAAAAGGTTTAATATTTTGATCAAGATAATGGACTGAAAGGTATATCATATGCAACAAATGGGTTTACATACAGTGAAGCCATTGCCCGAGATCTGACTTCTCTACTCTGATTTCAGTGTCGCATCAGTGAAGAAAAGCTGCTGGCAAACCCGTGGGTGTCAGTACAAAATTAGTATGATTTTCCCTTTGCAGTACACTGAAGGATGCAGTGGACTTGCTGTGTTCACACACATCAGCTGGCTGGCTTGGTGGGGCTTTCTGGTTCCCTGCTGCTCCTTGGAGGACACAGCCCTGGGCTGAGGCTGATGTTGAAAGAACAGGGTTAAGAGTTACAGAGATTCCAAACCCAGCAGCTATTCAGGCTTGTGGGAGAGTACCCAACCTTGGCCACACTGCAACCTTGGAACATACCTAATCTCTAACAAAGAACACAGAAACTCCTGGGATAAGAATGCTGTGAATTTCTGCTTTGCAGTTCTATGTGCATGATTTTGGAATAAAGATGAGAGTGTATCCTATAGTAACCTTAGGTAATTATAATGCTAAAATACACAGCCACTTGTCAGTAATGAACATGCTGATTAGGGGACCTCCCCACGTTTTCTACATGAGATAAAATGCATATGTGTGATGAGAGTGGGTGAGAGGTGGACAAGGAAGTTTGAGAATACCAATCAGCTGCATTTTTACTACAAAAAAGGAACGCTAGATGTGTTTGGGGTGCTGGCTGGTGTTAGATGGCCGGCACCCTACTCTGCAGACTAGAAATAAAGACAAGTATCTCAACTCACTGTGTTGACTGGCTCTTTGCACACCAAGTGAAGAAACCAGATTTGGGACAATGAGGGCCACCCACCTCTACACAACGGAGGGCTTGGGGAAGTTTCCTAAATTACATACAAAGTTGTGAGTATGCAACTTTGAGATGTCCTCATGCCACTTTTATTTTGATATGTATTTTTTCCACTTCTGTGTCAGTGTTGAGGCTGGGTCAGAACGGAAATGAAGCAGTAATGGTGCTGGACAAGGCTAATGTGGCAGCTGAAACTTCGCATCACTTCAAGTTTCTTCCGAGGCCAGACTGTGGCTGCTGCAGGGTGCTGCAGGGTGCACGTGTCAGAACGATCCCTAGTCTTGTGGTTAACAAGATTTACGGTTAGACATTTTCTCTCTGCCTCGTTGCCTTTGAAAACCAACCCACCCAACAAACTTACAAAGTAACAAAAAAAATCCCATATGCTCTCTAGTTGTTACTGGCTGGGGAAACATCGATAACCACTTCATTTAGCATCACAGGGTGACGTGTTTGTTAACGGAAATGTATTACTAACCCCCCTGCTTCAGGCAGAGGTCTACCTTCTGCCCTGCCACCTCTAAGTACAGGTGAAATCTCTGGACTCGGCCAGGAAAAACATGCACTGCAAAACCTCCACTCAAGCTGTTACTGTAAATTCGATCTCAAAAGAACCCTCTAAGATTTGAAGTTTATAGAAGGCAGGCATTCTTTATTGCAGCAGTGGACGCATGGGGGATCACTCCACCCAATGTGCATGTTGAAAGACAAAAGCATACTTATTATATACAATAAAAGAAATTAATATTAACGTTAATTCCCGGGAAGTACACACCTATTTCCAGAGGATATAATGTGTATGTTAATGCATTGCACAAGCTTACTAAAATTTGGGGAAGGGTTTCTGAGGGGCTTCCATAGGGGCTTTCGGTGGTCTGTGGTGGTCCCTAGTGGTTGTTGAAGAGGTGTCTTAGTGTCCTTTCCATGAACTCCGAGGTTTTTTTCATATATGGCCGCGCCTTGGCTAATTGCTCTGTCTATAAAGTTTCTCAGCTTTCTTAACTTTGACGACCACAGGTGTGTGTCAGTTTCCTTGCCCTCCCCAGGATGTACCCTTCACAGTTGCAAAAATTATGTCCTTGGGTGCATTCCTGTCTGAGGCCCCTTACAGCGATGAGCACCGACGCCCGCAGGCACCAGCTAGCGGGCGGCACGGCGGCATCCCAGGGGCCCCGTTGACATTGGAATTCTCAATAGCCCTGATGCTCCCAGGGAGTCCATTCTCCAAGGTCATCTCACTGATGCATTTTCTCAAGTACATCTCTAATGGGATTTCCTGTTTCACTCAGTAACAGTCTCACAAGAACATTCTTATAAGCCAGTGGAACAGTTCTAATGGTTGCATTTCTCATAGGCACAGACAATCGAAGTTGCATCAACACGGCCTACATTAATGGCCAGTTTCATTCCTTCTTCTTCAATCGCTGTATACCATCCCATAGAGTATACCACGGCCAGTCTGAACCTGGCCAGGAATTCTCTAGGGGGTATTTTGCCTTGCACCCCACAGCAGCTAAAGCCAAAAGATTAGTACTGTCATCATTAGTCCAAAACGCTTCCTGCCCCAGAAGGTCTGGACTCAGAGTTACAAACTTTCTGCAGTCAAAATTATCCAGGCTAACCCCTGATGCTCCCTGATCATGTAAACGTACCATACAAGTAAGCAGGGGCTCTCCTGGTCTCTGACTGAACCATACAAGAATATCACTGATTTCTTGCTGTGTGAAATCTTCCATTGTAGGTCTATTTACTGGTGGCTCACCCTCAGAAAATTCCACCTTCCTCCTGATGACTGGTCTCACATCTGCAGAGTCATCTGAGGCACCAGCCCCATCA